AAATAAATGAACTTTTCCACGACATTCTATCAACCTGTCAACCACCTCTCTTTTTTTTGTTTTCATGTAAACACTACATTCAGATTCATCAATCGGAATGAATTCAGAACCAAAAATTGTGCATATCAGCTCACTTTTTCAGCGGCCTTGGTTCCGAATATATTTTTCCCATAGGGATTTAAATAAAACTGTTAAAAAGAAAAGTCTTTGATTTAAATATATATATATATATATACATTTTGTCTCTCATAGTTGAGGTATACCTATGATGAAAATTACAGGCCTTTCTCATCTTTTTAAGTGGGAGAACTTGCACAATTGGTGGCTGACTAAATACTTTTTTTTCCCCACTGTATATATATTAAATCAAATACTTTTTTTTTTTTTAGCTAATCCACTGACAGTCTGACTGATACAAACAGCTAGCTGTTAAATGAGAAATACTCACATCATTTCCTGGCTCAGATTTAGTAGGGTCTGAGACAGGAGGTAGTGCTGACTGAGGAGGCAGGTAGATGAGAGACAGGGGTGCTGGGCTGCACGGGCTGCAGTGGGACCCCATCCTCATTGAGGGGGTTCTGATGGAGCTCTGCGAGAGTCTGTGAATGCTGACATCTGAATGTGCTGTAATGAGTGACTGCTGTGATCTGTGAGTGCTGAAAACTGATCTGGGAGAGTCGTCATGTGCTTCATGTGTGTCTGTACTCTCTCGGTCTGTATCAGCATCCATGTCATAGTCAGAGTCAGTATAGGTGTGTTCTGGTGTGTTCTCAGTGTTCTCTAGTTCATCCTCTGAGTCGTGAGTCGTCATCTCTCTCTCATGGGTCATCAGTCTCTCAGGCTCATCCACTGGATTTGCCATCCATTCAACATCCTGTGGCCGAGGTTTTCCTAAAACAGAGGCATTGAAATGTGATTTTCTTTAACATGTTCTTGATTTTTTTTCTGTTCTGTTTTTTAGGCGGCTCTCTTCTAAGGGCGTATCATAAGGAAAAAGTGCAGTGTAATACTCTAATAAAGAAAAATAAACACTATTGTTCAAAAATATGGGGTCGGTAAGATTTTAAAATGTTTTTAAAGCACGTCTCACCAAGGTGGCATTTATTTGATCAAAATACAGTAAAAACAGTATACTGTGAAATATTATTAAAATTTAAATTAACTGTTTTCTATTTGAATATATTTTAAAATGTAATTTATTCCTGTGATGCAAAGCTGCATTTTCAGCATAATTACTCCAGTTTTCAGTGTCACACGATCCTTCAGAAATCATTCTAATATCCTGATTTGCTGCTCAAGAAACATTTATTATTATTATTATTATTGTTGAAAACAGTTGTTCTTATTAATAATTTTGTGTGAACATTTTTTCAGGATTCTTGTGAGGCAAATGGTGGTCACACCAGATACTGACTGGTTTTCTGACCCCCCCGGACCCCCCCAATACAGTAAAACGGCACATTTTAGAGTGGTCTTTTATTGTGGCCAGCCTAAGGTACACCTGTGCAATAATCATGCTGTCTAATCAGCATCTTGATATGCCACACCTGTGAGGTGGATGGATTATCTCGGCAAAGGAGAAGTGCTCACTAACACAGATTTAGACAGATTTGTGAAAAATATTTGAGAGAAATAGGCCTTTTGTGTACATAGAAAAAGTCTTAGATCTTTGAGTTCAGCTCATGAAAATTGGGGGCAAAAACAAAAGTGTTGCATTTATAATTTTGTTCAGTGTAGAATAGAAAGTAAAAAATGGAAATTGAATTATTTTATAACATTTCTTTACTGTCACTTTTGATCAATTTAATGCATCCTTGCTGAATAAAAGTATTAAATTCTTTAAAAAAGAATCCTAAGAAACAAACTCACCCCAAATTTTTGAACAGTAGAAAAAAAACTGTTTAAAAAAAATTGCCTTGACAATTTTAAGTGTTGCATCATATTAATGTTTTATGATATAAATGTTAAATATACATGCTGCTGATGGAGACAGCTCACTAGTTTATCTTAACATAAACTCACCTACAACAAATGGTTGACCCTTTTTCTTTTTAACTTTAACTGTCAGATTCTGGGCTTTTATAGGCTCTTCCTTTTCTTCTTTAGTCTCTTCTTTTTTCTGTTTTTCTGTTTTCTTTTTCTTCTGCAGATTGAGAGCATATTATAACTAATATAAGGCATATAAAATCAATATGAGCATGGACTAGTATGTAACTCACTTTCTTTGAAGTAGAAGTGGGATCATCAGGAACACTGGTATTCTGGGTCTCAATGTCTTCATGAATTTGAACACTCGTCCCTTTTGATTTGCCTGTTTGCTTATTAGACTTTTTATTTTTCTTCACTTTCTCCACCAACGTGTGTTCTGTGTCTTCTCTTCCACCTGTGTTTTCCGAATGACCTTTTCTGTCAAAACTAACAACAACGGATATCATATAAATTATTGGGAATCATTTAGAGGAGAGTGTCGGAAGTTCAGAAGTTAAGATATAGCCCAGACGGAGTGAGAGAGATTTACTGATAAGAGCTCAGATGTGAAGCGATACCCTAATCTCCTCTCGGCTTTCTCACCGCTCACAGGGCCTGAGAAGGGTTCGGGCTGAAATCTGAGCTACAATCAAAGATCGCCGGAGACTGGGACGGATGGAGTGACGAGAGAGGAATGCAAACAATGATTAGACAGAATATTAATGAGTCCCAAAAACCTTGGAGCCAAGCTGTTTGACCTCTGTCTGACCTGTGACCTGAAGTCGCAACCTGCTTTGTGTACACCAAAACACAACGGGAACGCAAGCTGGCTGATGATTGAAGATGTAAGAACTGATGAAGTGGCCAAAAGCGAGAGGGAGGAGTTTGGGGAAATTAAAAGGATGGATTTACCAGCCAGAAATTACAAAGAGCACTGGGACATATTTATTATTAAAACCCCTCCAACCCTTTCTGATAAACTATAATTATAAACTATAACTGCTAGTTATCTAAAGCAGTATTTTGTTACCAGTTTCACTCTGACCGGGTCACAATTTAGCACAATAATATAAACATTTGCAACATAACGCAATCCCTTATTCATTATTTATTTGGATAGAGGGGTTACATATGCACACTGGGAACAATTCTTGTCATTTGGCTTTTGGAATTCAAATACACAAGCGTGTCAATCATACTTAACAGTCCTGTGCATCTGTACTGATTTTATAAACACAAACACAAGAGCTCGATATTACATGTGACTGAGACTCACTCTGCCTCCATTGGTAATCCTGTCTGTATTTCTGCCTGTCCTTCAGGAGACAAAGACTCTGGTGAATGTGCTCTGGGAGTGAAATGTGTTGATTTAGGGCTGATAGCAGGCGCAGCACCTTTGGACTTCCTTGACCCCCGTGTCACCTTTGTTTTCGGCTGTAAAGTTGTAAAGTTGTCTTTACTTTTCGGTTTCTTTGCACCCAAGTGGTCTCCTCTCCTGTGAATCACAACTATTTATAGTTTAGGTAAAACTTTTGAGGGTTGTTCTTGCTTATATTGCAGCCATTTGCTAAAATCATTTAAGTTAATTTTTTTTCCTCATTAATGTACACACAGCACCCCATATTGACAGAAAAACACAGAATTGTTGACATTTTTGCAGATTTATTAAAAAAGAAAAACTGAAATATCACATGGTCCTAAGTATTCAGACCCTTTGCTGTGACACTCATATATTTAACTCATGTGCTGTCCATTTCTTCTGATCATCCTTGTGATGGTTCTACACCTTCATTTGAGTCCATCTGTGTTTGATTATACTGATTGGACTTGATTTGGAAAGCCACACACCTGTCTATATAAGACCTTACATCTCACAGTGCATGTCAGAGCAAATGAGAATTATGAGGTCAAAGGAACTGCCTGAAGAGCTCAGAGACAGAATTGTGGCAAGGCACAGATCTGGCCAAGGTTACAAACAAATTTCTGCTGCACTTAAGGTTCCCAAGAGCACAGTGGCCTCCATTCCTTAAATGGAAGACGTTTGGGACGATCAGAACCCTTCCTAGAGCTGGCCGTCCGGCCAAACTGAGCTCTCGGGGGGGAAGAGCCTTGGTGAGAGAGGTAAAGAAGAACCCAAAGATCACTGTGGCTGAGCTCCAGAGATGCAGTCGGGAGATGGGAGAAAGTTGTAGAAAGTCAACCATCACTGCAGCCCTCCACCAGTCGGGGCTTTATGGCAGAGTGGCCCGACGGAAGCCTCTCCTCAGTGCAAGACACATGAAAGCCCGCATGGGGTTGTGAGATGGTGAGAAATAAGATTCTCTGGTCTGATGAGATAGAACTTTTTGGCCTTAATTCTAAGCTGTATGTGTGGAGAAAACCAGGCACTGCTCATCACCTGTACAATACAGTCCCAACAGTGAGGCATGGTGGTGGCAGCATCATGCTGTGGGGGTGTTTTTCAGCTGCAGGGACAGGATGACTGGTTGCAATCGAGGGAAAGATGAATGTGGCCAAGTACAGGGATATCCTGGACGAAAACCTTCTCCTGAGTGCTCAGGACCTCAGACTGGGCCTAAGGTTTACCTTCCAACAAGACAATGACGCTAAGCACACAGCTAAAATAACGAATGAGTGGCTTCACAACAACTCTGTGACTGTTCTTGGATGGCCCAGCCAGAGCCCTGACCTTAAACCCAATTGAGCATCTCTGGAGAGACCTAAAAATGGCTGTCCACCAACGTTTACCATTCAACCTGACAGAACTGGAGAGGATCTGCAAGGAGGAATGGCAGAGGATCCCCAAATCCAGGTGTGAAAAACTTTGCATCTTTCCCAAAAAGACTCATGGCTGTATTAGATCAAAAGGGTGCTTCTACTAAATACTGAGCAATGGGTCTGAATACTTAGGACCATGTGATATTTCAGTTTTTCTTTTTTAATAAATCTGCAAAAATGTCAACAATTCTGTGTTTTTCTGTCAATATGGGGTGCTGTGTGTACATTAATGAGGAAAAAAATTAACTTAAATGATTTTAGCAAATGGCTGCAATATAACAAAGAGTGAAAAATTTAAGGGGGTCTGAATACTTTCCGTACCCACTGTATATATTAATGGGAATCATTTGGAGGAGAGTGTCGGAAGTTCACAAGTTAAAGATATAGCCCAGACGGAGTGAGGTAGGGAGTGAGAGAGATTTACTGATATGAGCTCAAATGTGAAGTGATACCCTAATCTCCACTCAGCTTTCTCACCACTCACAGGGCCTGAGAAGGGTTCAGGCTGAAATCTGAGCTACAATCAAAGTGTGCCGGAGATTGGGACAGATGGAGTGACAAGAGAGGAATGCAAACAGTGATTAGACGGGATATTAATGAGTCCCAAAAACCTTGGAGCCAGGCTGTTTGACCTATGTCTGACCTCTGACCTGAAGTCGCAGCCTGCTTTGTGTACACCAAAACACAACGGGAACACAAGCAGGCTGATGATTGAAGAGGTAAGAACTGATGAAGTGGCCAAAATTGAGAGGGAGGAGTTTGGGGAAATTAAAAGGACGTCAGGGGATTTACTGGCCAGAAATTACAAAGAGCACTGGGTCATATTTAACCCTCTAATCCTCTCTGATAAAATATAATTATAAACTATAACTGTTAGTTAACTAAAGCAGTATTTTGTTACCGTTTCTCTCTGACCAGGTCTCAATTTAAACTTTTTCAACATAACACAAGCCCTTATGCATCATTTATTTGGATAGAGGGGTTATATGTGCATGCTGGGAACATTCAGGGAACTTACTGTCATTTGGCTTTACGAATTCAAATACACAAGCGTGTCAATCATACTTACCAGTCCTGTGCATCAGTACAGATTTTATAAACACAAAAACAAGAGCATAAAATTACATGTGACTGAGACTCACTCTGCCTCCGTTGGTAATCCTGTCTGGATTTCTGACTGTCCTTCAGGAGACAAAGAATCCGGTGAATGTGCTCTGGGAGTGACATGTGTTGATTTAGGGCTGATAGCAGGCGCAGCACCTTTGGACTTCCTTGACCTCCGTGTCACCTTTGTTTCCGGCTGTAAAGTTGTTGTCTTTACTTTTCGTTTTTTTTGCACCCCAGTGGCCTCCTCTCCTGTTGGCAGAATCACAATTATTTATAGTTTAGGTAATACTTTCAAGGGATTTGGAGCAAAGAAATGCAGAAATTGTTCTACTCTGAAAGTTCAGTTATTAAAGACATTCAACATCTTCTTTGACTTAAATGGAAAAATCTAGGGCAGAGCTTAGATACCAGATCAGCAGCATTACTCTTTATGTTGCTGTGCAGAGCTGTAACTCAGGTTACCGGTTTTGTTGAGCTGGTGAGTCGTAGAGCTGCTCATTTCCTCTAATCTCTCCTCCGGTAAATAGATCTTGAGAGAGATGGGATAAGACTCTTAATGGACAACTGGGTTGTATTTAACCCAGCATTTTTTAGAGTGTATGCTACATGTTATACCAGTGAAGGAATTACCTGTTCATTCTGAATTATTTCACTGTCAGAGCCGAAACAATCCTCCTTCCTCTTGGCTTTAGTCTGCTTTGCATGGGATCTCACCTTAAATGTCTACAGAAAACAGCATCACTCATTCCCTACTGTTCAAAAGTTTTGGGTAAGTACACTCTAAAAAATGCTGGGTTAGATATAACCCAGCGCTGGGTTAAAAGGGACAAACCCAGCTATTGGGTTGTTTTGAACCCAACTGTTGGGTCAAAACAACCCAAAAGCTGGGTTTGTCCCTTTTTAACCCAGCGCTGGGTAATATTTAACCCAGCATTTTTTAGAGTGTACGTTTCTTAAAGAAAAAAAAGAATACTTTTACATTTTAAAACACATCAAAATAGAAAACAATTATTTTAAATTATAATAATATTACTATATTATAATAATATAAAATACTGTTTTTACCGTAATTTTTGATCAAACAAATGCAGCCTTGGTGAGCATAAGAGACTTCTTTCAAGTGTTGCATGGTAGCAAGAGTTTCATAGGTTATTACGATGTGAAGATAATCAGTTTTATAATATTGTGCTATACAGTGTAAAAGAGGAAAATTCACCTGCGTCTCATGGATTATTTCACTGTCAGCACCTAAACCATCATCCTTCCTCTTGGCATTAGTCTGCTTTGCACGCGATCTGACCTTAAACACCTAGAGAAAACAGCATCTCACATATTTCATTGTGATTTCCACCTGAATCTGTAGCTCTTAGGTCAGCTGGTCTGAACATGGTTTAGGCTTCACAGATTAAGACTTTCTGGCTGCAGAGGTTGAAGGTGACTGATCTCATAATAGCGTACTAAACTGCAAACAGTTCAAAGAGAAAGACTCACCTTTTCCTCCTGGATGAGTTCACTGTCAGCACCTAAACAATCATCCTTCTTGGCATTAGTCTGCTTTACACGTGATCTGACCTTATATACCTACAGAAAACAGCACCTGATATATTGTAAGTCTGTTATTTCCATCTGAATCTATAGCTTTTTGTTCAGCTGGTCTGAAGATGGTTTAGGCCTCAGAGATTATTAAGACTTCCTCATTGCAGCGGTTGAAGGTGACCAATCTTATAACAGCGTAATACAGGTAAAAGAGGAGGACTCACCTGTTCGTCCTGGATTATTTCATTGTCAGCACCTAAACGAATTTCCTTCCTCTTGGCTTTAGTCTGCTCTGCATGTGATCTGACCTTAATCACCTACAAAAAAACAGTGTCTCTCCACAAAATCAGTTACGCTGGAACCATAAGTGAACTGTTACTTTGTTATAACAAATCTCATAATAGTGTGCTAAATGAGGAAGACTCACCCTTTCTTTCTGAATTATCTGACAGTCAGAGCCGAAATCGTCCTCTGCATTATTCTGTTGTGCATGAGCTTTCACCCTAAACACCTACAGAAAAGATTCACTAATATGATCGATAGATCCTGTGTTTGTTATTGCCATGACTTATTGATTCAGGATACTGAACTTACTGTAGTGGAATGTGTAACGCAGAGGACATTTTAAAAGAGAGAAAGTCATACAGGTTTGGAAGGACATGATGACATGAAATTAAACTCACCTGTGCATTATTAACAGGTTTATTGTCAGAGCCATTTCCCTTGTCCTCATCCTCCTCTTCCTCATCCACCTCCTCGTCTTCTTCCTCCTCCTCTTCCTCTTCCTCCTCCTCCTCTTCCTCATCCACCTCCTCGTCTTCTTCTTCCTCCTCCTCCTCCTCTGCATTAGTTTCTTCATGAGAGCTGACCTTAAACACCTACCGAAAGCAGCATGTGATTTTTCACCAAAAATTATCCTGAAATTTCCCAGAGGTCATCATCAATCTGATGTAATCATGTTCAGAAAGCTCACCTGCCTCTTCCGAACTGTTTTATTGTGGGAACCTAATGGATTCCGCCTCTTTGTGGCGTTCATTTTCTCTGCAGTTTTATTGACCTTAAACTCCTACAGAAAATAGCACCACACAAATATTTTGTGATTTTTACAAAACCAATTATCCTGTAGAATTCCTCAAAATTTTCAAGCTCATAGATCATCAAGGCTTTCTGGCAAAAGAAGCTGAAGTTAGGATCAAAACCCTAAAGAAAATGTCCGATTAGTTTACGGTGTAAAGTTCTTGTGTTTTTGCCATTGCTCTGCACAATGTTAAGGATCACACGGACGGAAAACTTCTCTGGTGCCAAAAAAGCACTTAACGGTGTCCTTGATCAATCAATGAATCAATGCAACAACAGATTGCACCTTGCATGTTGCTTGATTAATAACAACTACTCATCAACACATGCTGTGCTCCACACAGAAGTATAAAAAGAATATTAATTGAGAGCAAAGTCATGCTGGCTTTGTCGGCATAATGGAAATATCATTAATTTGGGAACAGAACTGGCTTTGATTAAAGGGGATTTTATCTGACCTTGATATGTTGAGGTGGGTGCACTGAACTAAAGTTCATATTTAATTCCTTCTCTCTCACTGTGAAATATTTCATGCTAGATTATAAGTGTCTCTCACTCTCAGCAGCTATAGTGGATGGAAAGGTTGAGGTCATACCTCATGACTAGAGTCAAGCTGTTCTGTGTTTGAAGTAGTTTCTTCAGTATTACTTGTGGTGTCTTCCTCTGCAAACAGACATAACATGTTTCTGCATGACTAATAAAGGAGTTAATAAATGCATTCAAATATCTCCTAATGTTTGGGTTCAGCTTTTTTTTTTTGAAAAATGAATTAATACTCCTATTCTGCAAGGGTGCATTAAATTAATGAAAAGTAACAGTAAAGATTTACAATATTACAAAAGATTTCTCTTTCAAAAACTTTGTTTGAATTTGAATTTTCCACTCATCAAAAGTTCTGAAAAAAAAAACTTTTAAGCTTAACTTTTAAGCAGCACAAATGTTTTTCAGCTTTGATCATATTCTTGAGTAGCAAATTAGCATATTAGAATGATTTCTGAAGGATCATGTGACACTAAACTGGATTAATGGCTGCTGAAAATTCATATATTCAAAATTAAAATAGAAAGTAGTTCATTTTAAATAAAAGTAATACATCTCTCAATATTACAGTTTGATCAAATAAACGCAGCTATGGTGAGCATAAGAGACTTCTTTAGAATTAGATGAAAAATTGTTGGATAATTTGACTTATTGACAGAGACACTACATATTTTAGAACTAGTGCAACAAAATAGCGAGTAAACAGTGCCCATTAGGTTCTTAACTCACCTTTGTATCTGTATTTTGTCTTGTGTTAGTTTGGTCACAAATAAAACGGCTAAATCAAAGTCTTCATTAAGTGTACACAAAATGACTAACTGAATTGTACCATCAACATTTACAATCAGCTTATTATGATCAGTACAATTTGCTTCTGCCATAAATCTTTATTTTGACACACAATTTGCAAAGTCAGGGCTGGTAAATCTCCCACTGGTAATTACAACTTCATGGTGGCACTCAGCTTGTAAATACAATCATTCTGACATGACATGAATGCACTGGGCTGTCGTAAGGCTGAAGTTTAGTATGCTTGTCGCCTCTAATCAGGTGGACGAACCTCATGAAAAAGTGCTGCATTCCACCAGGGGGCACAAGAAACGTAGGCCTGTCCCAAGCATGATCAACAAAAACCTCAACAGCACATGACCGCAGTTTAGCTTGCCATGCTAAATTTATTTATAATAGTATGTTTATGTGTCTAGTCATTTCTCAGTCAAATCTGGTATATCTTTTTGTCTGAGAAAATAGTTCTGAAGTTACAGTGCGGTTTGATTTAGGTTGTAGAATAGCAACCGCAGCTTCTCAGTTTGCCATTTGTACAATGTATTTTACTGACACAGATATTCGCGCGCACACTTTTGGATGCCAGATTTCTGTCTTCTGCATTAAACCATGAGTGAGCAAGCATGTTTAGTGTCCTGCTGTAGGATTTGCAGTGTTTTTCTTTGTGCCTCTCGCTGGATCACAGCCTGTGCAACCGGCCTGTAGTCTGGACACAGAGCGGCCAGTTATTTTACACCCCTGCACCAGCCAGTGATGGTTTATTTTTCAGCAAGTCTGTCTGCTTTAATGGGTTCCAGCTCTGCTTTGATGTCAATGAGGCAAAGAAACGGGTGTGTAGAGGAGATAGACAGTAAGAGGGAGCGAGTGTAACCGAGGGGGATGGAAAGAGCATCACACATTCGCCTGTAAGGCTGTGTGAACGCAGCGGCGACCCCATCCTCAGGAGAGAAGGGCTGTATTTTGTTCCACATTCTTGCTGTGTGCTGTGAGTGAGACCTCTGCTCTGTCTCTTCACACCCCGCTCACCTTCCACGGCCTCTGATCTTACACACCCATCCACTGCAATTATTCATCCTGCATGTCACAAATCCTGCCGAAAAGCAACAGGACTGCTCTTCTGCTTGCTTTTTCCTTCTGTCTTTTTCTTGATTCGTGTCTCTGTCTCACTTTTTTCTCTGTTTCTGTCAGAGCCCCAGCTGAACGTCTGGTCGGTGGGGGTTGAGTTTCTGACCAGTGACAGGATAAAGGAAACAGAGCAGCTCCAGAGGTCGGCTTGAGAAAACACAGCCTCTGTCAGTCACACAGACTCCTGGGCCGGGATTAGGCCTCAGTTTGGGGGGGATCAGGTTTCTCTGTCCGGAATACCTCACTGCTGCAAACCACTACCAGATGTGGAGCAGCCTGCATGAGAGCAAGAGGGAGGGGGCGCTGTGTGCTTTATATGCATGTTTGTGTGTTTGTGTTCCATTGTACTGTACTATTTTTACTTGTCTTTTACTCGTTAGAGCACATATGAGATGAGTTTGAGGATGGGGTGAATTTCTAAAAAAGGTTGGTTATGTAAAAAATGCAAATTTGATGAAAGGTTCTTAAGTGAACCCATATGAAGGCTGCAATATCTACAGCTACATCAGATATTGAGCCCATGAGATGGAAACTCATTCATTGTTCAATTCTATTATTTGGCTACTCTTTTATGTAAGAGTATGATTATATTTTATATGTATGTTATTATATTATGTCATATTATATTGTCCCAGTTTTAATATGAGCATTATTAATAATTAACCATTTTTCATTTTAAATCCTATACACAGATAGATAGATAGATAGATAGATAGATAGATAGATAGATAGATAGATAGATAGATAGATAGATAGATAGATATAATTTTTTAAGCACCAAATCAGCATTATGAAACGATTTCTGAAGGATCATGTGACACTGAAAACTGGAGTAATGGCTGCTGAAAATTCTGCTTTACCATCACAGGAAAAAAAATACATTTGAAAATATATTTAAATGGAAAACAGCTATTTTAAATCTTAATAATATTTCACTATATTACAGTTTTAACTCTATTTTTAATCAAATAAATGCACCCTTTGTGGTCATAAGAGACTTCTTTCAAAAAATTTTAAAAACTTACCGACCCCAGACTTTTGAAAGGTTGTGGATAATACACAAATATAAGACACAACTGTATTATTATTACTACTATTATTATATGTAATATGTATATGCAAATTGTTCCATATTAACCATCTGCACACTCCAGATTAAAATGTCCTATTCTTCGGATAGGAAACGCTAACCTTCATCTGTGTCGTGGTCCTCTATAAGGATTGTCCAAGGCTGTTTCAAATCTCCCTCTGAAGTCACAACCTTAAGAACTAGAAACAAAGAGGTACATTCTTCATGTTAAAATCATCTCTGTCTGTTACAGACCTCCTATGCTCTTTATTTTTGTTTTGTCTGCTGTGCTTCCCTTTATTTGACCTGAACTTTCAGCCATCACCTACTCTGTCCTTGTAGAACACTAACACAGACTCCCCTGACAACAAGTTACATTTACAACATAATAACTCCAATAACACACGTCGTTGAGAATAACGTCTTGTGAACATTTTAATGTGTTTTTTTTCTTTTCCTTAAGAGCCCTGCAAGTAAAAGCCGGTATAGACATTTCTGTGCTCTGTGTGTATTTGGTTTAGCACAATATAAAACCAAGTAAAGCCTTGATTACCGTGACCTTGTGTGACATCACCCATTATTGGGTGGTCCTTAGTGTCAACTGCGGGATCCCAGAGAGACAAGCGTATGATTTCCCCATCAGGACCCATTATTAAGGTGCCCACCGCTTGGCCTCCCTGCCATTCTGACAAACACAGACATTCAAACAGTGAGACTTAACAAACCTAAAAAAGGAAAAAGCAGAAAGTGCTCTACATACAGGGGCTCCAAGATTAAACACTTAAATCACATTTAAAAACGTATGCATGTCATTGCATTAGAAACATTGACCTAAGTGGCATAGATATCATAAGCAAAACATTTCACAAAAATGTGTTGTCAAAATTTAAAATTATTCATTCATAATCAATATGATGAACAGCAGTCTGATCTCAGTAGTATTAATAGGCATGTTTACACACGCATTTTTGTATGTTTGAGTATATGCTGAAATGCACAATATGGACAAATCAACAGCATTTCAATCAAAAAAAAGTTTACATGCACAGCTTTAGAATCTTTTATACTACAGATATATGTGTATTGTTACATTTTACTATTATATAGATATTTTTAATCTATAAAATAATTGTATTATTTATTTTTAAATCAAATACACAATTCTCGATGAGCACTATTTGTTCATACAGTATCACACATTTAAGCTAAGTTTTTAAAAACTTTTGGTTTAAACTACAGTCTCCAGGGTCACAGCATCCTAGACACCAGTATTTTAATTATTCATAAAAGCTGAATCACTGTCTGGGATTTCATTATGGAGACAAAGGTTAGGATCATGATTTTTCTGTAGTATTACAGCACACTGTGCATGTATATTAGCATGGTTTGTTGTTTGCTTTTAGCATCTGATTGAATGCTTGGACCTGGAAACCGTGACACTAGATGTCAGACTTAACAAGTGGTAGGCCTTTATGAAGCATGCTGTTACCTCTGAGCTCCAGAGGGAGACAACCTCTAGTGATTCCTGTTTGTGTTTCTGTTGTGTCTGCAGGGTCGTGTAGGTTCTGTCTGTACACCGCCATGGAGCTCTGTTTACCTGGACCCCTCCGGCCCACCAGGGGGGGCAATGGACCAAGAGGAGGATGTTGATCTATGGGAATTAAAGGTAAAGGATTCACTTCAGTTCTTCAGTAGCAATAGTTAAACAATCTCAAACTGAACAAGAAATGACTGCAGAAATGCTCAGGTTGAATCTACAGCAGTGCAGCGTTCTCATAGAGGCTTGTTGTGCCTGGGTCCGTGAGTGCTAATGGACAACTGAACCTTAGCCTCTGTGTTGTTATTTACCGTATCAGCCCCTGAGATCTCCCCACCACCCCTGTTCTCACTGCCCACTGCTCTGCCTGTCTAAAGACTTCATTTAGCTGCAGCCAAGCACAAGCTGAGCTACACATGAAGAGGTGCTCGGCCCTCAGAGGGGGGCTGCGCTCTACCACCACCACTAGCACTGTATGAGCCACTGCAGCCCTGGAGCTTACAGCTTATTTAAGCCTCGTTTGAGGAGTTATGCGAACATCGAGGCGATGCGCGAAAACGCCTATGAGAGAATGCCCCCTGTAGAAGAGACGCTAGCCAGCTATCTCTCTAGGGGTGAGACATCGTCTCTCAAAACTCCCTCCTTGCCATCCGTGCCCCTTCAAACGTCAGCGCTCTCGTCCGGATCAGAGTAATACTTAGGTATCCACTCTTTTTCCTCAGGGGGTGTAACATCTACCCCTTTTTCTTCCCCTTCATAATTCCCCTGTAACCACATCTCTCCACCTGACCGAGGTTAGGTAAAAGCTTCCTGCATAACAGTCTCCCACTGGACCTATGATGTTTTGGTTGGTTCTATGGCTAAATCATAGTGACCACCTTACTGATGGTCCGGTCTAGAGGCTTCTCCGGACAGAGCTCTGATGCGGGAACCATGGTGGGTGAGTTCGATCCATGTCTATAATATGTATATATGAATATATATGTGTATCTAATGAGATTGGTGGTTGTGTATTACCTTCTGCTAGTTTTTTGCAGTGTTGCCGGGACCTGTGTGTTTCTGCCCCCCCCCCTCCCCCCCGTTTTTTCTAGGATAAGTCCTCGATGAGGCCCCTCTGTCGGGTTCAGAACCAGGTGCTCGACTTGCAGTATGTATTTCACTCGTCGATGTATGTCCAGATGGTAAGAAAAGCTGGGTTTCGGCTTCATACTTTCCTGGATCATGTGGCCATAAAACAGGCTTCTGCGGGACGTCCGGGCTGGGGTTACGCTTTCATGGCATTTCCCGATCACCAGGATATCCCCTCTTGCTGAGGCATTGAGCGGGAGGTATAGGTGGCATTACGGGAACCTTCCTGTGTAAATGCTGTCTCAGGCAGTGCTCCCCTTGCCTTTGAGGGTTGTATTTGAGCTTGCCTCTCCTGTTTGGCCCAATACTTCCGGGTATCTGTAATCAGATGCTTGGAAAAATCTAAATCCAAATACTTTGGTAAGTGCACACGTAAGCTTTGCGCACTTTTCTACAAATCCACATGAGTGGTAAGTGTGCATGATATGCTTTGCGCACTTTCTAAAATCCACATAGCTGGTAAATGTGCACATTATGCTTTGCCTACTTCCTAAAAACCACATAAGTGGTAAGTATGCATGTTATGCTTTGCCACTTTTCTGAAATCCTGTATGGTAGGGGTTACGCGTTATTGACCTCGTTCTCTTTCTCTGAGTTGGTTAGACCCCCGGTACCTTGGGCTCCTCTCAACTAGTGTGTCTCTGTCGACACACTCTGGAAGCATTGCTCTCTGAGGAGTTTGATTCCTCGCTCCATGGGCTGTCCTCGTGGTAGTATTGAGCAGTGCTCCCCTTTATCAAAGGGTTACCTGGAATGAGCAACGTTATTCCTCTGAATTTGGAGTTCTCCTCTCACATGAGAAGTTTGAGTTCTCTGTTTCT